TCATCATTCAATGTATTCACGGTGCGTGTGTCGGGTCCATCGTTGTAGTGAGAGGAGCTTCAACAGTGACTGGGACTTGCGACCCAGGTGTAGGTTTAATATATATAGAGAGACGAAACCTCTCATCATTCAATGTATTCACGGTGCGTGTGTCGGGTCCATCGTTGTAGTGAGAGGAGCTTCAACAGTGACTGGGACTTGCGACCCAGGTGTAGGTTTAAGGGACACCTATGTAACGCGCGTTAAACGATCACCTCCACTGTCCAATCTCCTATTAATCAACAGACTATGAATGTTCTTAGGTCGACTGTTAGTTGTAAAACGCAACAAATATTCAAAAATTATCAGCAGCTTAATTAATGTGATAATAAAGTCTCAATAGGGATTCTTCGTCACACGTGATAAAAGAAAAAGGCGAAACTTTCGTCGGCTCTAAGCTAGTATTGAATAAACATTACCTCAAATAAAACTAATGTTTTTAATATTAATATAATAATAAGTAAAACATAGCTCCTACTGGTCTTCACAAAAGAAGGAAATATATCCTTATTCAAAATGTTCCTGTTTTTTAATATCGTTTTAAAGTTTTAAAACATCAAATATCTAAAGATTCGCTTTTTAATTTCCCGTCTATTTTCACAGCTTAGAATTAAAAAATGTTTGCCATGAAATGCAATTTTCTGCAAAATATTAATGTAACATAATATATATTGTTTATGAATTATTGGCAATATAACAATTTTTACCCCATTATTGCGCGGTAAATCACTATCCTTTAGCTTCTGAGAATATTTTTCATCTACACTTTATAAGGTAAGTAATAATGTAGACCACAGATTATATTTAAGTAGTTTTTTATAGAATTGAATTGAAGGATATAATAAAACTTTTTGGTAAGTCATAATACATTTATTATTATAAAAATTTATTAATTTTAACTTAACATAGTCTATATATAAAACAGAGCTGTGTTAATTACACAATTTGTAACTCAAGAACGGCTTTACGTATGTATATATTTGAAAATGGGTAGAGATATAGATTAGAACCAGGAGACGGACATAGGATATTTAATACTGTTTGATCAAAAAAAACTTAATAAATTCCAATATATAATCAATTACGGTTTCTAGGGCGAAATATAGTTCGTTCGGTCAGATATACATACATATATTATTATTTTCCAATTTAACACGGACGAAGTTGCGAACCAAACTAGTTTATTAGTATAAATATTTCATATCTAAATATATTTCCTCTGTTACTATGTCGGTTGTCATTAATGGTAACGTTCTATGTTATCTGTGGTCTAGATAATACAAATCCCGTGATTGTTTATTAATTATTTAATCTATGGACGACACTCGTGATCTTATTAATATCAAAATGTTATTAGAACAAAAGAACCGCTGGTTTCAGAAAGATTTAATACTAAATAAGATAATTACGTTTTTTCGTGGATCTATAATTTAATAAAGATTGAATTGTTATGCACTAATTATGTGGTGGCAACCGGAGGTTCAAGGAAAACTAAGAAACTTACTTATAAGTTATATGTATATTATAATAAGAACTACATATTAAAACTTATAACCTACACCTAAGACTACATGATTGACCCGATGTTATGATAGCAATACCATTCCATAGCTTGTGTGTATCAGGAATCTTCTGGTTCACACGGATTGGTGTTCGTTCCTCGGAGTCAGCGGCGATGGTGTCCCGACAATGTTCATTTATTTCTTAATATATTACATAAATAAATAGCTGGTATTTCAGCGGAATATGGCAATTTTTATTTTTATTTTCATGTACCACAAGGTTACCTACCTTGACTTAAAAGCAAAAGTCCCATGAGGGCAAGCTAAGCGTTTTTCGTGATATTACGAGTACTATGAACACTAACACGTAATTTAAGTTATAGCTTCTCTACATATCTTTGTTTTGTTTACCATGACTTAGTTTCTTTTAAAGTCCGTCATTTTTTAGCAAAGAAAATCGAGAGTCTCAAAAAAATCACTATATGAAATCATTTGAAATTTAGCAGCTTGTTTTCAAATAAACTATGTATTTATATTAATCGTTACAATAATCGTTATAATATATATTATAATACAATTTAATAATCTAGCATCAACTGAATCATCGGTGATAATTCTTCATTTTATATAATGTAATTTTTAGGTGAATAATTTTGTTTCATGTGCCGTAAGTTCCTCAATAATTAAACTATTTTTTTAAAATCTTTTACTTTTGTGTTTGAATTATTCTCATATTATTATTATTTTAATGAAGATGTTTCAAATAATCGAAAAACTTCTCAATAATTTTGGACAAGTTTGACTTAATAATATATGTAGTATGGAGAGTATTTTTGTACGGTTCTGTGTCTTTATATACATGTTTTTTGTTAAGTGTAATTCTCATGTAAGTGATAATATTCTTAATGGGAATAAATATCTTAAAACAGGATATAGGACCACAACGTTGACCGTTTGTTTGGTTTAAATAAGGTACAAAGAAATATTTCGATCTAGCAAAAATAAGTTGAAATACAAAATTTCTAAGCAAGAGCATTTACATAAAAGAAAAGAAAAGGAAAAGAAAAGTCTTACTTTTTAATTAATATATTTTGTGGTTTGTGTATTCAATAAATATGTACATATATAGAAATAAATATGTACATAAAAGAAAGTCGTGTTAGTTACACTATTTTTAACTGAAGAACGGCTGTACGGATATGGTTCAACATTAGTGGAGAGATAGATTAGAACCAGGAGACGGACATAGGATATTTAATTCTGTTCGATCGACATAAAATCTTATTAACTCTAATATCTGGTTATTTACGACCTCTAGGACGGAATAGAGTTCGCCCGGTCAGCTATACATATATTACTAAATCCGAAATTATTCGGACGAAGTCGCATTCAAAACTAGTATATATATTAATTAAATCAATCGATGGCCATATGTTAAGACATCGCGCGTGCTTACGGTTAGCCATTATACGGTTATAAAATACTAGTCGTTAAAACTTATTCCGTTACAGTAAAAACTTGTGATAGTAAACTAAACTCTCAATACTTACCACAGATGATGATAGAACAACCTTTATGGGTCTCTTTATCTCATTAGATTCGAGTTTTGAAGTAATTTTTCGGGTGTTTCGAGATTTGAAGTAATTTTTTGGGAGTATTTCGAGTTTTGAGGTATTTTTTTAATTTATATTCGAGCTTTACTGAATAGAAAGTAATATAATATTTTCACTAAATCCAGAATTATTGCATGTTAATTGTAGCTTGAAATTAATATGCTTGTGGATCCTTTAAGCTTATGTAGTTTTCAAGCACTGCTTATTGTATGTAGCAACGCTCGTTTTTCTTATTTCAATAGAATTTAATTAGTAAAAATACGAGCACATATATTAAATGTTATGTATTAGAATGGGAGTAAAGAAGAATTTAACATATAAATTTATTGGTTAAAATTTAACTTTTCCCTATAATTGACGTTTTCTGACTCTTCCTATGCTATTGAAAAATCAAGCGAATTCAATTCTAAGGTTAATTTTATGATAGTTATTTATTGCTAAATATATTTTTATATTTGTACCAGGTTACTGTTAGTTTTAGGATTTTATTTCTTAAAAACGACTTCTAAATATAATTGTATCGAAAATTTATACAAGTCTTAAATTGTATTCAGTCGTTTATATTTCATAATTCTCTAGAAAAATTTTTAGATTTTTGGGCTTTTTCTTCGTTTTTAAGTTTATTATATCTCTCAGTTTCTTGTTTAAGTTTAACAAATGTTCAATTTTACCACGTAATTTTAATACTTGAAAAAATTTACTTGAAAAAACAATATAATGTTTGTAGTTTTAAAATTTAATTAAAAATATTAAATTCTTGACAATTTCCTTTACTGAATTTTCAATCTGGAGTCATGTTTACTTCTTAATAAATCAAAATTAATAACTTTAAAGATATTTGAAGAATTTAATATTATCTAAACATTTTCATTAGAAATTAATATTACTAGCTTTGGCTCGCAAGATCATAATTGGGTTAATTGTTTAACCAAATTGCAGGTCCCTTGTATTTTAAGGGACATGATACAATTGTTATGCTGTATTGCTAACAGAGGAACATGGAATTTTAAAATAAATTTAAATCAATCTGTCTAATTATATGAAATTAATGTAATAAATTTTATTTAGCAGCTCTTACGTGAAATAAACTATACATAATATATCCATCCATACATTTTGTTCTTCGATTATATAAATAAAATAAATAAATAAAAATAAAATAATAAAATGTTACGTTTATACTAGTAATACTGAAGTTATCTAATGAAAGTTTAACTAAAACGGGTTTAACTTTTGAGTAATCACTGTCAAGTTATCGAAATATTTGGAGGTAGATAAGAAATTTCAATCATTGAAGTAGAAAAGTATTGCCATTAACAAAAAGACTGTTTGGTAGAGCGACTCCTACTAATAAAATTATTTTATTTACTCAGTATTAATTAAAAATATATTTATTGGAAACTTTATGATCTTTAATGAGCAGATTTCAAAATTAAAACAATTAAATATGTGGGTGTTATTTTCTATGACGTTTTAATATCTTCAATATGGCCTAAAATGATAGTGAAAATATGTTTTAATAGATTTTTTAATAAACTTCAGCTGATACCTGACATTGTGTACTATAATGAGATCTAAGACTTTCGCGAGTATTTATTTAAATGAAACTAATATTTTCGAATAATTACTCCTTATTTTATTAACTTAAACTACGTTTCGGTTACTTTGCAGCAACCGTGATCACGGGTAAACAATATTTAAAAAAAAATTAATTTCATTTAAATGTACAGTTTATTGTAACACATTTATTGGCATCTACCTGGCAGATACTGGCTAAAGCTGAGATAATTGCTAAGAAGAAGCTTAATTGGCATCTACCCTCATATTTTTGTATTTTTTTTCAGCCATGCGTCTCCTAATCCCCATGATGATCTTGTCTTTGGTGATGATGAGCTCATCGCAGGCGCAGTACCCTCGGCCTCGGCGCCCGGAACGATTTGACACGGCGGAACAGATATCTAACTATCTTAAAGAACTTCAGGAATACTACTCAGTGCATGGCAGAGGAAGGTGATAAAATAATTAATTAAAAGCATTATCTTACTAGCTGCGCCCCGCGGTGTTACCCGCGGATTTCTGGGATGTAAAGTAGCCTATATTTTATTAATGGATGTCAGCTTCCTGTATACAAAATTTTATCAAAATCCGTTCAGCCGTTTGAGCGTGAAGGAGTAACAAACATACACACACTCACAAACTTTCGCAATTATAATATTAGTAGAATTTTAGTACTAGGCCTATTGTATTAACGAATTTAAATTTCTCTACCTAAAAAAGATAATGAATTCTTGAAGTCTTTTCGAATGTATGTGATATCATTCGAAAAATATGTTGATAATACAGTTTTTCATATATAGATGTACTAGCTTCCCCCCGCAGCTTCGCTCGCGTGGAGTTCGGTTATATCGCGGTTCTAAGGGAACCTTTCAAAAGTCTGGGATAAAAACTATCCTATATTCTTTCTCAAGGTCAACTCTATCTCTGTACCAAGTTTCATTAAAATCAGTTTAGTGGTTTAGACGTGAAAGCGTAACAGACAGACAGAGTTACTTTCGCATTTATAATATTAGTAGAGATGAATGAATCTTTTTTGTTTCAGATACGGAAAAAGACAGATGCATATAGCTGACGCGTCCGTCATCTTCAGAGAGATGCCGTTCTTCGAGAACAATCTAAATGAAGACGTGTTCAAAAACCTTGGATACAAATAGACATGAACATTATACGAACGATAGAACGCCCTAGTAATGGTCTTCCTTACTTTTCCGAACCTATTTCCTTTCCTGTTAGTGCCAAATAATTTTAAGACTATAATAATTTATCTTAGTTATACTATAATGATTAAGATTTTATTTCCGTCTCGATTCTAGTCAATTAAGATATGTATGTCACGGAAAAATAAATTTCAGGCTGGGTGAAAATTATTTTTGGTGATTGTTATTTCATTAAATAGAAATCGTAGTTTTAAAATAAACTTTATTCGATGCAATACATACTGTTTTTGTTTTTTTTTTGTCCTTAAAATAATAAATATATGAAAGTATACTTTCTTTTAAATATACTATGAACAGAAATATCATTAATTTTTGTCTCTTAATATCAAATATTCAACTGTTAAAAGATTTTTCATAATAAATATACAATCTAAATAAAAAATTCTTATCTCGTCTGCCTATGATCACGGTTGCTGCAAAGTATCCGAAACTTCGTATGTAGTTAAAATAATTGAAAAAGCGTAGTCAATGCGAAAATATTAGTTTTATTTAAATGAATATTCTCAAAAGTTTTAGATCATTAAATATAAAATCATTAAACGTAAGTCAAATCCAAGGAGTCAGGTTATTTGTACAACTTTTTGTGGTAACACGATTTGGTTTTATGTATTATTGTGTCACTTATTATTTGTTTTTCAAATAAATATTACCTTATTCCTATTTCCTTCTAGAACTACAATAAATATTTATTATCAGTTCATAGAGTGGCAACCGGAGGTTCCAGGAAAACTACGAAACTTACTTATATGTATATTAAAATAAGAATTACATAACATTATAACTTATAACCTACACCTAAGACTACATGATTGACCCGATGTTATGATAGCAATACCATTCCATAGCTTGTGTGTATCAGCAATCTTCTGGTTCACACGGCTTGGTGTTCGTTCCGCGGAGTCAGCGGCCTCAAGAGTTATATATTTTATACATACAACGATGTCGCCCCGGCGATGTTCATTTATTTCTTCATACGTAGCGCGTACGTAACAATCATTAAACTGCTTGGAAAAAAAAAGTTTGTTTTAATTAGACACAAAAACAAAGGACGAAAAAGACGATTTACATATTGAAATTAAAATAAAATTTTAATGACAAAAATAAATTATTGGATTTTTTTTGCTATTCAACTACCTTTAATGATGAGAATAAGTTTTCGCTACGCATTGACGAAAAATTGCTGACTCGATTTTAGTGAAATTTAGACAACTACGGAACTCGACTAACACTAGCAATTTCGAGGTTCAATAATAAAGTTCTATTCGCTACCAAATTACTAATAGCCTAAAAATCTGATAAGGACCAAAATACATAAAAAATTACCAACTACCTACTAGCATAATCAATCAATCGACTATAGAATCCTTTGATATCATATACAAAATAAAAACTAAACGATTACAAGCTTGTTACGTAAGCATAACCCGATATTAAGTTTTCGGTATAACAATGGTGTAAAGCACGGAATGCTGACTCTGAGCCATCGGTGGGACTGGGAAAGTGAAGTGGACACCACACGCCTTGTACCATCGGTGAGAATGAAGAATGGGATTTTACATATATTCAGTCTGGAGTCAACCGCTGACTTACAGACACCTCTTTAGTATGTAGTTAGTTATAAGACTTAATTATAGAATGGGTCTTAAGTCAATCGCTGATTTAAAGACCCCGCCCTAGCTAGTAGTTAAATTTAAGTCTTAATTGGTAATTGAATATATTTTGTAAGTAAAACAGATTTTTCTTGCATCCTTCGCTGCCACCAAACGTAATTAGCTATTATAACCTTTGTGTAAAGAAAATAAAATATATATTAGAATAAAGGTGTATTTGAATGCATTCGTCATGGTGCGCGCGCAAAGTCTTAAACCGATTACAGACACGATGCGCGCGCAGTGCTTGTACCAAAAAGGTTCTTTATAGTGGACAGGTATCAAATACTTTGATTTTAAAACAATACTTATATCAAATATTACATTTTGTACAATTTCTTCTGCTATTTTGTTCATATATTTTTGTTTTCAGTTAGTAAAATTTTTAATTCGTTTTCGTAAATTTTTAGTACAAATATACGAAAATTTACATTATTTTTGCTATAATTTCATATACAAATCCCTAATTTATATAATTTTTCACTATAAAATTGTAGTAAATTAAAATATTTCTGTGTTTATTTCAAGAGGGTATCAAATTTGTTATCTGTGGCGTATTCTCAATGTACGTACTATAAAACACCCTTCAGTATTATTGAAGGGGAAAACAGGTTTTGATATTTTGTGTGTAATATTTGTAATATATATTTTTGTGCTGTATTTAATAGCTGTGGGAACAAATATTAGTGTATTTATTACAGTCTCAACCATATAAAACATCTTTTAGATAGTTTTCACATAAATGTAAAGGGTTTTAGAAATTTCTAGACATACGATCAATTTGGTACACAAAGGTGAGTCTATATTTTGTGCGTTTTAATTTTATATTGAAAAAAGATTATTTAAATATGAAATACTTACATATTAAATATTTTAATAATTGACAAATAAAATTCACTACGTCTTTATGGATGAAAATCATTAAATACTAATTGCTATTGCTAAGGAAACTTTAAAGATGATTATTTTTATGTGATTATTTAAGTTTTTTTTACGGTTTCAGTGATGGCGCCTACGAAGTTCGGGCTCTTCAAGGGCCGGAGTAGAGACCAAGGTGATCAACCTTCGAGCGATCATACGCCTCCCTACCAAAGCGAACATGGTAATGACGAATACATATATATACATATATTTTGCACAATTTTAGTCAGTGGTGACCTAGTGGTTAAAGGGCCCGCCTCTCATGCATGAGGGCGCGGGTTCGATCCTGGCAAATACCAATGTGATTTTTCCGAATCATATGTACTTTCTAAGAGTATTTAGACATTACTGATTAAAAGAGGGATTCTCAGACAGGCGGCCGGTCGTAAAAAAATTAGCCAAAACTATTCACAACATGTAAGGCAGACCCTGGCTTAAAGCTGGGAAATTGCCAGGTAGAAAATTATACGAAGCTCTTAGACTATTTTCAAGAAATTCCCACTGAATTTTAGATGCATTCTTGTATTGAGCTATTAAAAATGAAAAAAGTTATTAAAAAATAGTTTTTAAGCGATAAGCGAAGATTTTAAAATATATTTTTTTAAGTGATTGAATATACATAACATTTGTATATAATAACAGAAATTATAAAAATGTTTTTCATTTATATGAGGGTATATATGTTTGTAAGTTTGTTATAATTATAATGCGAAGGAAATTAAATAAGAGTTTGATAGACAATTATATATTGATATTTAGACATCACTGACATACAGTGAAGAAAAACATCGTGAAGAAACCTGGACTTATAATTTCACAATTATAAGTTTGAAATCACCAACCCGTCTTGAGCAAGTGTGGTGATTAATGCTCAAACCTTCTCCATGTGAGAAAGGGGCCTTAGCAATGTGCTCTGATAGGGAAAAAATTTATATTATAGATATTTAGTACCTAATTTTACGGAAATACAATTTACTATCCAAAATTTGTATAAGGTATTGTTTGTTGGTCAAAAAATAATAGGTGTTCCTATTTACGTCCAAAAGCAATATTTTCGATAGTAATATTTAAAAAAAATTTCAATTTCATGTTAGTTATAACGACAAGTTGAACAAAAAAGTATTAAAGAGTTTTTACATTCTAACAATGGTAGTATCGTAAAACGAATTTAATAACGCGTTAATGCTATACCGGACTTTACTTAATCTATTCTTGACACGAAAGTATAATTTTATTTAAAATTTTTTCGCGTAATAATAATATACATGTACTTGACTTGATTTAAATTGTATGCTTTTTAGAGCACTTCAAATTGTAGCGAATTTAAGTAAGAAATATGTATTTCCACGAAGTAGCATGACGGTATTTTGGAAATATTTAATCATCTCGTCTGTCCGTGATCACGGTTGCTGAAAAGCAACCGAATCCTCGGGAGTATATAATTTACAAAAAATAAAGACGCGTAGTATAATGCGAAAAATATTAGTTTCATTTAAATATTTAATTATTCTAATAAATTGAGCCCCCACTCAACCTTTTCTTTATATTTAAAATAGACCACGATTGTACCGAAAAGTCTTCTTCTTCTACCTGGCAATTTCCCACCTTTAGCCAGGGTCTGCCTGAAGTTGTGAATGGTTTTGGCTGTTTGTTTTTACGACCATCCGCCTGCCAGACATCAACCCTCTTTTGGAATGCATTAATCAGTGATGTCTAAATGCTCTTAGAAAGTACGTATGACTCGGTAAAATCACATTGATACTTGCCAGGGCCAGGATCGAACCTGCGCCCTCGTGCATGAGAGGCGGGCCTCTCAACCACTAGGCCACCACTGACTAAACTGATTGTCCCGACAATTATCATAATTAATTGTTTCAATTCCTTGCAGTGAGCACCTTGGATTCTCCAGTGCCATCGACTAGCAAGGGAATAATTTCCCAGGAATTGAATCCAGCGGACATCTTCCCAATGCTGGATCTCGATGATGATGATGAAGAGGTATTTTTTTTCTCCAAAGATGAATTTCAATAGTTTAATTCTTAGATTCTTACATATAAGTCATTTTGAAGTTGAATACGTTATTCGCTGTCAGAAATCTTGCTTTTAACTTTTGTTTTACTTATAAGTACTTACTACTAATGAAACAGTTGTTTTAATTCCGTCCGAGTTCTTAATAGTTTTAAAAGATCTTTTTGTGTACACCACTTTTTTCGTGACACATTATCTCTATTTCGATAATGTTATAAAATTTTTCTTCGATATCAAATACTTTTTCATAATAAAAAAGCATTGCTTTTAGACTTAAGAGTTTCAAAATATTCGATATTCCACACCACAATTTAATTTCTATGTAGAACATTCACAACAATTTTTTATCAACCGGTAATTAAGATAATGCTCAAGGGGATGCATTTTCTTCAAGCGAAGTATAAAACCTCTAAGTGTTTTCGCTTCAACGACCTCTTTGATAAGCTACTTTGACTTTGTCTCTCTAACACATATTGTTTATGATAAATATTTTAAAACTACCTTCTTCTTAAGTTTACCGGGATACCATCATCGCGTCGGAACAGCTTCGGAGCGAATTTGGAAGAACAACAGGTAATATTGGATAGATTTTTTAAGTCTTATTTTAAGTACTTCATGTCATTAATATGAGTATTGAAAAAAGTTTCTAATAAGTTAGTTAATACGTTACAATAGCCCACTGGTATAGTAAATATTTTATAATAAATAGAAAAGTGCGTGTTTCTTAAATTTCCACATCGAAACAATTAATGAATATTTAGAGAATATGTACAAATATATTATCTTGGTAAAGAAAATTGTAGGAAACTGTAGGTTAAACCACGCAAAACATCGGCTAAAGTTTAAAAGAATAATTTTTCTGAAACACTTTGGTAAAATTAAATTTTTTATCATCAAAATCAATAGGTACTATACCAATCGTTCCAAGACGAATCGACATCCGCGATAGACGAATTAAATCAAATACAAATATACGACGAACCGGAAGTTTTCGAGGATGAGGCTAGCACCACCTATGACGCGAATTCACTGCAGTTTGATGAAGCATCAGTAACTGAAGAAAACTCTACATACTGCGCTGTACTGAAGAAACCTAAGAAGAGCAAGTCCAAAGAACAAGAGCTGAAAGATCTTAATATGTGGCAAGCGACCAATTACGAAGTAATGTCGGTGAGTGCACGAGAAAAATACTTCGTTTGGTAACAAAGCATTTCGTTGCTGGTAAACGAAATGCTTGAAACTATTTTCAGGACAGGTTTTCATATCATACTTCTAGCAAACTAAATCCTTTTAAATACTTCAGCTTTTAATAAATATAGCTAACTTATAAACATCATAGTAAAACGGAATTTAACTCGACTAAATTGAGATAAACTTGGTAGAGTTAAAATCTCATTTTAATTTCGTACACATAGAACCATACCATGGCTTAGAGGTAAGATTTAAAGACGCATTTAAAGTTTCGGCCCATCAAAGGTAAACGTAAAGTTATAGAAAGATCTGAAATGAAAGTTAAATTACACTCGGGGTACACGAGACATGGGTTGGTTAATTTCGCACTCGGTCGCCCACGATTGCTATAACCCGGTTTTTAATTCTAATCATATATATAATAGGATATAAGTTCTATCTATAGGTTATCACATTACGAACACAATAGCCAGCCTAACACGCTTTGCCTAAAAAATTTTGACACCCACGTGACATTTAGTTAGATAAACGCAAGGTGCTGTCAAAATAGCTACATCCCTACCCGCAAAAAACAATAGACGCTTGGCGTTTTTTATTATTAAAGCGCGAGTTGTTCTACAGAATCTGCTAAACCGAAGCGGAACGAAGGACGAAAAAATTAAATGGCAGGCAATAGCCACAGCAAGGGGGCTTTGTACCTTAACTGACAATTGTACTTGCAATGACTGCAAGGGTTCCTACCTAGTCGGAGTATCGGATGGGGACGCGGGCCTGGGAGCCGCCCCACTGTTCAGTACAATGCATTTGGGATGTTCGATACAGTAATTTTATAATGGAAATTTTCCCGGGGCATAATAATTATTTGCACCCCTCTCCAGGAAGCTACGGCTGAGAAGAAGACAACCCAGCCGGTGACTAATAAAGATCATGGCAATGGAAATTAAAAGCCTTCGTCAGTGCAATTATTGGATGAGAAGTCTTTTAGAGAACACATTTTTTGTATTGGAAACCAAGCGATAATTTTTGGCGCACTTTAAACTTCATATAATCATGTATTTGATGTTATGTATCCTAGATATATGTAGTTGTATAATCATAGAAGTAGTGACAACTCAATGTATATTCTGACAGGTTCCTTTAAAATTAACAAGATCTTAATCACTCGGCCTAAATCTTTGTGACACTGTCATTTATGTACCAGTGGTAGCACAAACTGAATACTTTTACAATAATAGTAAGTTACATGTGATAAATATTATCTCAAATCTTTTGTCGAATTTAGTACTGCATTATTCCATTGTCCAATAATTATAAAATAAATATATTTTTAAAATATTGTCCTAAATTTGAGAGAATTGATAAACTAAATAATTTAGTATATAATGTGACTTACGTTCTCTCTGTATTATTTTAATACATGATACGCTTATATCATTCTACTTTAGAATTTTAATTAATATAACAATATGGAGGTATGATTTGAACTTTATGTGCCAATAACATGATTATTTAAAGAATCTAGTATCACTTTCGAGTTTTTAAGGAAAGTAAACACTGAGATTATCACTAAAGAATTAATATTTCAATATTTTTATACTGTATATCTTCCAGAAGTTGGATTAGGTTGTTTTATATGAAAGCTATTAAGTAACTCACTCGCAATATATTCTTCAAATGTTTTAAATGCAGTGCACTAAATAACTTTATAATGAGAGAACTCCTTGTTATATTTAATATACCTAAGGTTCAAATTTTTTTTTTATTATTTTACAGTATATACCTACGCTATTTAAAAAAAACCGCCAAATTAATTTTGACACGACTTCTTTTTCAACACCGCATTGAATTCCTTTTTACAATATTCAACAAAAAAACTTTTTCTTGTATATTCACTTTAATGTATATTAAAAAGAACCCTTTACATTCTTTTTTTTTAATTTCTCTATGATAAGAATGTATATACAATATTTTAATATATACTGTATTCCCGACCTTTTCGAAATATATAGATAATCCTCATTGACGGTCCATTTTAATATTTTTACTGATTGTAATATTGTTTTAAGACAGTTTATTTTTACCTATTTTGTTTAGCTTTTAGTTGCAATTTATATTTTTTTAAGTTTAATATAATAAGTAACTTAATAACTGATTATTCATAAACAATTCGGAATAACCATATTTTTATGATAAAAAGTATTTTCTTTTAATTTAAAATCTCATTATGCTAATTATTGTTTGTTTTGTAGCTTTAATCGCATGAAATGTGTTTAAAGTAGGACAGGCCCGAACTTTACTACCAATTAAAATGGTTTAGAGGCCTCTTAATTGTAAGACTGATTCGGTAATTAAAATCACGGTTAAGACAATCGTCGTTGGTATGTAAATGATAAGAATGTAAGAAGTTGGATAATTATTATTATTTCAATATCCTTTTCGAACTTTCTTTACCTTTTGTTTTTAATATTAAAATATATAAGCTATAAGATAGCCTCTAAGTAATGTAACTATTAAAATACTTTTATAAACTCTTTGAATATAATTTCTTACGATATTTTATACTGCTGTAATAAGTATGAGTACTCGATCGATATTATAGTTCCTATATATTTTTTAATCTGTGAAATCTCCATATCATGGTCGCTATTAAGTTTAAAATTCTTTCCAATAATTTCCTGTGTCAATTTAATTTTAAAATAATAACTGTATTTTATAAATATGGATTGTATTGTAATCTTTCATATATTTTTGTAACCTAATTCTTAGAGTTTACAATGACTGTAGTTTAGTTATTTACATATTGTATATCTGTCTTTCACTTATACAAGCTCTTAGTAATTAATCGGTGTTCGTAGTTGATGTGTCACATAAATTGTGTTGTAATAAATATTTGTGTTGTCTAAACATTTACGTCTTTCAATTAAAAATCCTTTCAAATAATTTTCAAACTTTTTAGTACATTCCTTTAAAGTCTCTATAAATTTTAATAGACTAGTCTGCTCTAATACATTCAAAACAATACATATAATGCACATTGTCTATTAATATCCGAATATTATACACAAAATGAAAAAAAAAATGTTTCTCATATAAGTGTATATATTTCTCGTGTAATATATAAACTTACAAACGAACTTGTAAATTATCAAAAATTCAATTCTATCTCTCTATGAGTAACAACAACAACGATTAGTCAGTATAAATAATTCAATTATTATCAAAAAACATATCATATAACATTCTATATACATATATGTCATTATATTAAGGATATATTAAATTATAAATAATATTAATATTTATATCAAATATCATCTACTGAAACTGTAGAAATTATATTTAAAAGTCGAAAAATAGCTATTGTAGTTATTACCATTAAAAACTCATTATGCATCTATTATTTATTTTCGCTTTTAATTGTAACTTAAATATATGAAATTTTAACAATTTTTTCCTGACGTGTTGCCTCTTTAAAATAACATAAAACAACTTAAAAGAGAAAAATAATGTGTGCAAAGAAGCGCTAATGTCACTGTCAATTTGTATTAACGAAATGCGACGCCAATAATAAATCAAAGCACACAATTATGATTATGTCAAAAGCGTGACAATTTATAAGTATCTTGTAAACAGTATCCAAAAAAGCTTATTTTAATTAAATAATTAGTTATTTCTTTGAAAATGAGTGGTCCAAACGGAATGCTATATGGCGGGGATGAGATAGGAGCTTTAGTTTTCGATCCAGGGCATCACTCTCTTAGAGTTGGTTATGCTCAAGAAGATACTCCGAAAGCCGATATACCTGCAGTTATTGGCGTCGGTCCGGCAACGCACATCCCTGATGCTGAAGAGAAGGTCCCCGATGGAAATGTCACACAGAGCGGTAAATAAATTAACTTACTTATATATATACTCATGTATAGTGATTTTAGTATACAAAGCGATGCTTGTGATAATTATTTAAAGAAAGTTATTCATCGATAAAACTTTATCCCTCCATTCGGTTGTATTGATAAGAACCAATGTAAATAACGAAATAAAACTTAGATGAAAAATAGCCTGTGTTATTTCAAAATCTTGTTATAGTATTGCTTGAATGGTGTGATATATTCATTATAGTATTATATAAACACACCATAATTAACTTATATACTTATATATTGCTAGATTTACCCATCTTGGGTAACTTAAATTTTTGGTATAATTTGTATCATCACTTACAAATATCATTCATAATTAACATTTACTGCTAGCAAACAAATATATAACACTTGAATTATATCACTCTCATAAACCTACTTGTGTCCTAAATCATCATCGGCCTATCAGAACCCACTGCTGAGCATAGCCTCTTCTCACATCGAGAAGGTTTGAGCATTAATCACCACACTTGCCCAAGGCTGGTTGGCGATTACAAACTTATAATTGTGAAATTATAAGTCCAGGTTTCCTTTAGTAATTACTTAAATAATTTTCCTCTCTTCAGCTACAAAGAAAGACGAGCTCCGATATTACATAGATGTGACAGAACTACATGTGCCCCGACCGAACATGGAAGTACAGACTTATATGAAGGACGGACAGATTGACAACTGGGATCTGTTTGAGAAAATGTTGGATTATTGTTACTCAAAGGTAATAAACATGAAGCATATTAGATAGTATATATACAGCCACGGGCAAAAGTATTAGGCACCCTACAGTAAGACAAGTTTTAGGGTGTTTTAGCATAGCGAGTCTAAATAAAACTGCATTTATGATTACAATGGTTTATTTTAAGAAAATAATTAATATTTTGTAGGTCCACCTTTTGACTTAATAACCGCAGCCACTCTTTTTGGCATTGACTCTACCAGCCTGAAACATTCTTCTCTTGATATATTTTTCCATTCCTGCTGTAACGCGGTCAATAGAGCTTGTTTATTGCTAATCGAGTGCCTGCGGATATTTTTCTTTAAAATGGACCAAATATGCTCAATCGGGTTGAGGTCTGGTGATTGTGGTGGCCAGTCCAAAAGATCAATATGATTTTCAGCAAACCACTTCATGGTATGCGCGGACTTGTGGCAAGTGGCGTTGTCTTGCTGAAATTTCAGGCCATCGGTGTTTGTATCACCGAAAATTTGCGTTATCGACGTTGCTAGTGCTGTTTCCAGAACTTCAGTGTATTTAACACTATTCATTCGTCCCTCACACAACACCATTTCGCCCACTCCGTCGGCAGCCATGCAGCCCCAGATCATTGTTGAGCCTCCACCATGCTTAACAGTGGGAACCACACATTCTGGGTCGTATTCTTCGCCAACCCTTCGCCTAACATAAGTCACACCGGGTGTTCCAAACACCTATGCCAAAGGAAAAAAACACATTTATTTTCAAAGTTATTATTTTTCTTGCAGTACGTTATTTTAAAAACATTTATGTGTTTTAATATTGTACATAAAATAAATAACAATACCTCAAAGTTAGATTCGTCTGACCACAGTATGTTGGACCAATCTTCCACTGACCAATCTCTATGTTTGAGTGCCCACTCCAACCGATTTTTCTTATTGTGTTCTGACAGCCACGGCTTCTTCCTTGCTTTTCATCCTTTTAATCCAGCTTTAAGAAGTCTTCTTCTCACAGTATAAACACTCACTGAGCTGCCTTTTGCCTCAGATAATGCTGCAGCGAGCTCTGAAGCAGTTTTTTTCCTGTTTTGTAGAGACTGCCTAATCAACAATCGATCTTCCCGTTCAGTAGTAACTTTTCTTCTGCCTGTTCTTGGTCTATTTTCATGGGTGCCAGTCTCTTTGAAGCGATTTATAGCATATTCAACTGCACATCGCGAGCACTTCACTTCTCGGGCTATTTTAACCTGAGACATGCCTTGTTCATGTAAAATCTTAATTCTTAGACGCTGTTCAGCACTAAGTTCAGATTTTTTCGGCATGATTAACACGTTAAATGTTAGTCTTTAGAATTGTGATAGGAATAGTTGCGTAGAAGACGTGTATGTTCACTGCAAGCACTGATAACACACTATAACCCGAAACGCAAAAAAAGCAAATTCGAAGAAACACCGCTTAGGAGCACACCTGGATGTCATAAATATTTTCTTTTATCTTAATTTGGTTAAAAATTGCCGCTAATACAATAGCTAAACCATAAAACACACACTTGACCGCTATCTAATGAGATAGTGACTAACAATAGGGGTGCCTAATACTTTTGCACGCAGCTGTAGTAATTACCTCAAAATATAAAATCTCAATTATAACATTATCTAATTATGGTTGATATATATAGAAATCATTATTAAGTTATTTGAATAAAAGCATTAGGTTTGATTTGTGCATCATAGTGAAAAAAAATGGTGTTCGAGATACAGTTTTAGATTTAGCATTGTATATAGCAATTATCTTCAAATGAGATTTTATAAACACCTAATAGATAGCACTTTGTAATAATGGTTCAAATATATAGAAGTGATTTGACTCAAGGCATTATAGTTTAACAGTTCTGTAGTGAAAGCAAAATTATGATGTTTTGTTCTAAGTACAGTTTCAAATTTGTTTCTCAATGTTCAGCGTTAATTCCAGTTCTATCTTACAAAAAGGATGAAGCATATATTTATAGCTTTCAAACACAAGTTGATACTTAAATGTTGCATACAAAATTAAAATGGTTCAGTATAATAATTATGATCAGTCATAAAAATAATTGTAAGGATTATAATATATTCTGATTAGTACGGCGCAGATGGCGCCACTTGTGATAGTTATATGAAAATGAGAGTTATTGTTAAGTATTTTAATTGGTAAATCAGTAGATTTTTTGGAAAGTCTGCATTATTTAAATTTTTGTCGGCATCCAGTCATAATTTCAGTATTAAGCAATGCTTTTTACCAACGTTAAAGATAATGTTTGTAACTTGTATTTAGTTGAGGAAATATAAAATATGTCACCGTTCATCATGTTCTATTAGTTTGAACTATTTTATTTTCATAAAATGATCTTTTGCCTTATTTTTTCTTATGAAACAGTTATGCTTGCTTGATATTCTTAAAATAACAATGATGTGAAGTGTAATGTAGGTACATTATTTTATTATATTAGTGACTATCATTCAGTTTGCTACTGACCACTACACATACATGACCAGTGGTTGCTGGTGGGTTATCGAACTGGTGCACTTTACTAAAATATTAGAAAATGCAACAAAAAATAAATTAAGATAAAATATGTTTATTTTTTATACATTAATAAATGCAGCGACATTTTTCCGAAGCGAAATGTTCAATCACCTATTTATTAAAATCGGGTATTGTTTGTATATATTTTTTTATTCAATACTAAGCACAGAAAGTGCATTTATCAAGTGCATTGTATTTCGGAGAAAAGTTTTGATTCTTTTCAATTCCAATTCGTCATACATCGGGTGCTCTCGGTAATCTTCGGCCGCTCGTGCGTCGCTAGAGAACCGACTCATTACTCGGTACATTTCTATGAACTATCTTTTGTTTCACGCGCCAGGCGTATTAATTCGTATCTCATACAATATGTATTGGCAGTCCTCGTGCACTCGCCGAAGCGCACGATATGAGTTTAGCAAAACGCTCAAACTTTTCGACTATAATTAAAAATTTAATTTTTAATACGTTTTTTATATGTTTAGAAAATAAATATTAAAATGGTAATTTAAAAATAATGATGAAGTAATATTTTGTAATTTTTAAATCTTTTGAATTGGTGGTTCAGCGCACGAGTGCACTTTAGGTACAGCCGCCCCTGTACATGACTAATATAGTTTTATTGAATACTACATTATAATTGTTATAACATTATACATTATTGTATCTTCACCAGGTAATAAGATCCCCATCGGAGCATCACCCGGCTCTCTTCACCGAGGCTGTATGGACCACAAGACCCGCTAGGGAGAAGCTCGCTGAATTATTGTTTGAAAAATATCAAGCGCCTGCCTTCTTTCTGGTCAAGAATGCTGTTCTGGCGGCTTTCGCGAACGGAAAGTCAACGGCATTGGTGGTAGATGCTGGTGCGAGCCAAACATCAGCTATACCTGTTATTGATGGGTAAATATAATGTTTATTTCTTTATATATATATATATACTAGCTACGCCCCGCGGATTTCCGGGATGTAAAGTGGCCTACGTTATTCCTGGACGTCAGCTTCCTGTATACAAAATTTTATCAAAATCGGTTCAGCCGTTTGAGCTTGAAGAAGTAACAAACATACACACACACTCACAAACTTTCGCAATTATAATATTAGTAGGATATATGTATGTATATATATATCGATAGGTCCTATGTATAAAATCCAAAGTAGCAATTTATCCATTTTCATTTTTTTGTATATTATAAAAATCTATATCTAAAAAACTAGTGGATGTACAAAATAGTCTATCAATCTTAAATGACGTACATGTATGTCATAGTTGCTATTAAAAGTTTCAAAAACATCTGTTGTATGTATAAGATACATTGAAATCAAACAAAAACGTCTCTACTGAAAAATTTACTTTTTGCACATTGGCCCTTATACATAGAAGTCATCGATATAGAGTTTTTGAACATGTTAATTTCTGGGAAGTTTGTAAATAATGAATGGATTACGGAACCATTTGGTTTCTGTAAGAATTTCTTTTTTTCCTCACAAAGTTGTTTCTAAAGTAAACAAGTTTTTTCCTATTTAATAAAACCCTGTCTCTACTGTATCTCATTGTTATTATAGATATACAGGGTGACTGGTGAATTACTATCGATACTTGAGGACGTGATATTTGACGATCATATATGACGAAATAAAAATTAATATAACATAAATATTAATAAACTTCTAAGTAAAGTTAACCAAAAGTTATGTAATTAATTACGCATCGTGTGAACACCCTACAGATTAGGTATACACACACACACACACGCGTGCGGCGGTGTGGTGTTGTATCAGCACGCCGCCGCACGCGTCCACACTTGGAACACTTGGAACGTGTTCACACTTTATTTATTTATAAGGAAACTTGGTCAAAAATTAAGTACCTATTTTTTTTTTACATAATTCGAATGAGAATCATGTACCGAGTATGCTCCTTAAATATTGATAGTAATTCACCAGTCACCCTGTATATAGCTATTTGTTGATATTCTTTTGCATATTCGTAGTTCTATATAATTACTTTTTCGTTGTTATATAACTCATACAAGTTATATATAATCCTGTTAGTATCTTTATATATATATAAACCCACAGATACGCCCTAACAAGCGCAGCAGCTCGTTCACCACTCGGCGGAGATCACTTAGCATCCCAAGCTAAGCTGTTACTAGCTAACATGCATATTCACATGTTGCCTCTATACAGCATACAGAGCAAAGAGGTCATAAGAGAGAGGGAGAGAGCTAGATATACCCCTCGCATTCTACCAGCAGGTCTTACTTCAAGCTGGCAGCAATATATGCTGAAAAGGCAGTATGAAGATTTTGTACATACAGTTGCCCAAGTTTCGGAGATGGTGTATGACGAACGAACAGCTGCATCAGTTCCGGGCGTTCATTATGAATTTCCAGGTGGTTATCACCAAGATTTCGGTCCTGAGAGGTTTAAATTGACGGAGTGTCTATTTGAACAGACTTTGGGAGCGCCGCATCTAGGTAAGAATTGAAAGAAAACTTACGATATTGTATGAAACTAATATTTTCTGATTTTACTTAGCGTTTTATTTTTGATCATAAACTACATACTCCCGACGTTTCGGTTCTCACATCTCGTCTTTATGATCACGGTTGCTGAAAAGTAACCGAAACGTCGGGAGTATGTAGTTTATGATCAAAAATAAAACGCGAAATAAAATCCGAAAATATAAGTTTCATTTAAATGAGTACTCGCGAAAATCTTAGATCTCATATTGTATTTATAAGCTTGTTTGTAAGTGAGGGCAGTTGTACAAGTTTTCTTGACGTGTCAAACGTCAATTATTGTTATGTGGTTTGTTTTATAATGTATAAAGTTCAAAGAAACATTACCAAGAAGAGAACTTGCAAAATTTCAAAACTTATTTTAATTGTGATATTTTAGTCGACATTGTTAATTTACAGTTCATTTTGTAAACTTCGATTGTTGTAGAACCTTAGTAGATTTAACAATGTAATCTTTTATACAAAAATTATCAATCTTTTAATCGATTTTTTCATATAAATCACGTTTATTTCTATTTCCAGTATGTGCAGCCGCTTCAGCCTGTGATGCGGATGCCCGCTCAGCATTATGGGGCGCAGTGGTTGCGTGCGGTGGCGTAGCTTGTACTGCGGGTTGGATGGAGAGGCTCGGCAAGGAACTGGCAGCGCGCGCACCCTCCGCGCACAGACTCAAGACCAGCGCCCCGCCAGCGCACAGCGAGAGACGGTTCGCTGCGTGGATAGGTATGATATACATACATACATACAGACATACACACAGAGACACACACACACACACGCACACATACACACACACACACACACACACACACACACACACACACACACACAGACATACATTCAGAGATAGAGAGGTACACACACACACACACAAACACGGATACATTCACACAGTGATAGAAAGAGAGGCAGACATACACATACACACACACACATGGGAACACGCGCATTGTGGTTAAAGAACTTTATTTATTTCTCATAAAGAACAATGTTCACTTATATGAAATGTATTACATAGTTAAATTCAAACAACAATTCAGTACAGTAGCAACGAACCATAGAACTCGAGAGCGGTTAATCCAAGTGCTCCCTACAATAACCCAATAGTTTCCTTCTAAACATCGCAAACGTTTTTTCATCATAAACTTCGTCAGGCAAGCCATTATATACTTTCGCTCCCTCAAACTGTATAGTTTTAATTCCATATCTAATACATACCCACCGACTGAGAAACACATGCATACAAAAACACACATTAGTAAGTCAGTGGCGTAGTGGTTAACAGGCCCTCCTCTCATGCACGAGGGGGCGGGTTCGATCCTGGCCCTGGCAAGTACCAATGTGATTTTTCCGAATCATATGTACTAAGAGTATTTAGACACCACTGATTAATGCATTCCCAAAGAGGGTTTATGTCAGGCAGACGGCCGGTCGTAAAAACAATTAGCCGAAACTATTCACAACATGTAAGGCAGACTCTGGCTAAAGCGGGAAATTGCCAGGTAGAAGAAGAAGACAAAAACACACATTCTCTCAGGGATAGATATCATACAAAAATTCACAGACACACACTCAGAATTCAGAGATACACACACATGTATATGTATTTGTTTATCCTCTTCTACATTTTTTCATTAATTCCCTCTTTCGTCGCTACTGTAATAAGGTAAATTTTATAATCTTATTTACATTCAAATGATACAAGTAGCGCCATCTAGTACTCATTTGGGAAGTTTCATGCCAATTTTCAAGATACGTTTTTACTTCCTGTCTTGGCAATGCATAAAAATTTTCCTCCAGAGTAATAGTACAATGTTAAATAACCTTCTAACTTTTATTTTAATAAACCAACCAGTTCAACAGTTTTATACATTATTCTTAACAAATCAACATCAGTACTACACACACAACATACACACACATCTTCTTCTACCTGTCAATTTCCCAGCTATAGCCAGGTTCTGCCTTACATGTTGTGAATAGTTTTGGCTGATTGTTTTTACGACCGGCCGCCCGCTTGACATCAACATATGTACATGTTTATCTGTCCTCTTCTACGTATTTTCTTAACCCCCCTTTCTTATACATTAGACATCAATATTTCTCTCTCTCTCTCTCTCTCTCAATATTTCTATCTATCTCACTCATCATAATAATATTTTTCCAGGTGGTTCGATCCTAGCGTCTATCGGTTCATTCCAGCAAATGTGGATTTCGTCCCAGGAGTACGACGAAGGCGGGAAGGGCCAGCTCGAAAGAAAATGCCCTTGAATTGATAATAAACATATATTAAAACGTATATTTTATTTATAACACCATTATAAGACTCGCGATTAATAATTAAATTAATAATTTAGTATGGCTATTTGTTTTTTATTGTATTAACTACATATTCGTTTCGGTTACTTTATAGCAACCGTGATCAGAAACACGAGATTTTTTAAAATAATAAAATATTGAGGATAGTATGTACCGAAATATTAGTTTAATTTATAACGTCGTTTCTAATTAACAAATAAATCGAAATGGCAAACAATTATTATTTATGAATAAATGATTTGGTATAATCATTGGGTTTTACATTAAATCTTTCCAAATTTTTATTATATTTCTATTTCAACGCAAATGGATTACGAATTCATTTATACAATATAAAGCCCCACTTCGATTATTTACTTGTTTAACGAGTTTAAGCGTGGTCCTAGCGATCTCAATTATGATCTGAGTTAGGGACGTCTTTAACATCGACCATTGAAGATAACATTAGTTCTGTGCGATGATAGAGGAAGATGGGAGAGTGACCTATCAGTAGATACGGGCAAGCCTGGGTATTAGTATGAGTTACGTTCAAACAATGAATGATGAATATTTGATTTTGATTACACTCCTGATCGGACACACTGCGCTTTTTATTTATTCCCGAGGATTAAGGATATCGAGGTATTCAGTTTTCGAGCCCTGAGAATGCAGTGAAAGTATACTAAAATGCCATAGAAGTGATCCCTAAGAAAAAATCGACAAATGGTTTTCTCAGGTTCCATGAAATGCGACGATGTGTAAGGAGGAGATGATATTACTTCGTAAAACAATAAAAAATTGTCAACAATCTACATTAAGCAATTTAAACATTTTCAGTGTTGCTGAGGCGCGAAACACTTTTCTGACTAAAGCATTTTTTTACGTAAAAAGTAGCAAAACGAGCAGACGGCTTACTTGATGGTCAGAAGTCACCGTCACCCATGGACATCCGCAACAAAGATGGTGCGGATGCGTTGCCAATTTTAGTTGTTGATGAAAAGGGAAGTATGGGAATAAGGAAATGGCAGGAAAGGGTGAGAACACGGAAAGGACAATCGTCTCTCTCACTAGTCTCTCTTTTTAAGGGTCAAAAACGATGCCTTAGATCTATTTTCAACTTGAAGGTCACGGACAGCTGTATATCGATTTTTAGGAAATATAAGTTTTTAACATTTCCTTGTATATATTTGAAATTGCAGTCTTTGTGAAAACAAAAAAGCACCTTTTTCCTTCATTAAGAGAAACGAGAAATCGCGCTATAAATCTAAGGTCTCAATATAATAATCTTTTATGTACAGGCAACTACAAAATTGCTTTATTGAGAAGGAACATATTGACCATGGCCCCTATTATATATAACAAATAAAAGACTTAACTTATGTAAAATTTAAAAAACTTTTGTTTTCCTTACTAGTCAACAAGTGTTATTACTCCGTAAATGATTATCTAATGGACAAGACATAATATTGTAAGAAATTGATGAATAAAAAATGTATAAAATATATAACTTAATCATCTATCTATCAATCATTGTTAATTTTCATCTGTAAAACATTTAATATGAAATTATAATTGCATTGTTAATTTAATTTCTAATTTTAATTGAATAGTTAATTTTAATTTATAATTTAAACCTAATACTTGCATGCCTTAAGGTAGAAAGTACTGGAACTTATACTAAAATCTATTTATACACCTATATTCTGTTCCCACATTTAAAGCAAATAAATATTATTATTATTATTAGTCGGACGAGACGCAGTCATTAATGAATACTTTACACCGATCTTCTGTGAGAGGGTGGTACTTCCTCGGTCGAGCCAGCCCGTGATCGAGCTGTAGTAACTTGACCAAAGCCAGGCTCTACCAGCTCAAACAAGTTTGTTAAAGTTGTTATCACCCTTAATGCAGCTATTGGTGACACTCAGAATGTTTTTCGTTTTTTTTTCAGATCTCAGACGACTGCAGTGAATTAATAACGCGAATAGTAATATTTTTGCATCGGAATCCATGTAGATAGTGACGTCACACCGGTTTAATCGAATACGCTGTTAATATGTGTCCGGTTTTATTAAGTTCGTAATGTAGTACGTTAAAGAGTATGCTGAAACCACTGAATACTTACAAAAAAATACACTTGTCAAAAATCATTGTTACTCTTACAACAAACTTTTATAAACATATACACAAAATTTTACGAACGCCGCGGCAACAATCTTGTGTGAAGAAACAAAAACCGGGAACCTTTGTATTTGTATAATTGTATGACCGGTAGAACCGTGAAAGCGTACACCGAGTTTGTACAACACTTTACACGTGGCGTTAACAGTTTCTCATTCATAAACTATTCGTGACGATCAAATAGTAAATTAATTTAGACATATAAGTACATAATTAACATGTGATGGCTTCGAGGTTAAAGGATCGCCTCTCTTACATGAGGACGCGGGTTCGATCCTGACAAGTACCAGTGTGATTTTTCCGAGTCATATAAACTTTCTGAGAGTATTTAGACATCACTTATTACGATGGGTGCAACCGGAGGATCCAAAAGAATGCAAACTTTTTTTACAATTATTTTATTAAATTATTATAAAAAAATTACATTTAACTTAAAAACTAGTTGAGTGATAATCGGACAAAGTTGGTACCAAGAATTAACAATCGATATACATAATTTTAAACGAAGACTTTGATTGATGTCAATGGCTGTTTGCAGCACTGCTGATTTTTGGTGGTTTACCCGCGTATGCTATGTGTAGCACACTGACATACGGTGAAGGAAAACATCGCGAGGAAACTTGGACTTATAATCAAATAATAAGTTTGAAATCACCAACCCGTCTTGAGCGAGCGTGATGATTAATGCTCAAACCTTCTCCATGTGAGAAAGAGGCTCAGCAGTGGGCTCTGATAGGCTGATGATGATTATGTGAGTAGTCCACCTGTTAAGTGTGGAGTGTTTAGAAAGAATAAGTATCCAACAATAAATTTACGATAGATTTAAAATAAGTGAATTTTGGGATTTCCGATACTATTCAGTGATCAAAAGATATTGTTTCCTTTAGTATGTTTTTGTAAGATTCTATTATACTTTTCTTATAAAGCTATACTTAAAATAAATAAAATGGTGGTCAAACTATTGCTGTGGTCTGGATTTCAAAAATATTGTATTTTCTCAATTATTTAATAAAAAACTGGTACTCTTTGTAGTATGATGCAAAATTGTATTAAGCGTAGATGTGTCATTAATACTTTATAATCGTCTGATAAATCAATCCCCTAATATTTTAATACGATAAGAGCAATAAAATAATATAATAAAGAATTAAAAATCGATTTACTGATTATATAAAAAAGAAACATTAAATTGAATTATACGTAATTATTATTTCACTACGTGCCTGCCTCAGCTTCGCAGGGGTACCTAACAAAAAATATTAAATAGCCTATGTTGCCTATGCGTTGAGTACTTCTTTTTCGAGTTAAATCAAGACAAACCAAAATAATTCTAGGTGGTAGAGCCTAGTTGTAGTCAGTTACTACAGTTCGAACGTGGGCTGGCTCGGCCGGGGAAGTACCACCCTCTCACAGAAAATCGCCGTGAAGTAGCCTTTACTGGCTGCGTTTCGTCCGATGAGTGAGAGAGACGGTTGCCCTTTCCCTATTCCTACCCTTTCCTACCATTTCCTTATTCCCACCCCTTCCTATCCCTAAAAAATAAGGTTGGCAATGCATCCGCAACAAAGATGTTGCGGATGTCCGTGGGCGACGGTAACCACCTTCTATCAAGTGGGCCGTCTGCTCGTTTGCCAGCTTTCGCATAAAAAAAAAAAAATTTCATCATCTTTCTTCGTTAAACATGTTTTAAGTTTGAACTTATAACAACGGTATATTTTAATGTTAATAATATTTTTTTAATATAATAAAAATACAAAAATAATGACGTGATCATATGAAAAAGTGAGCTAGCGAGGATTTCATTTTGAAATTATTATTAAACTTATGATCATTTGAAAATGGTACGTCCGAAATAAATAATTTAAAAAGTAGTTTATAGATACTGATGTAGGTTTAAACACGAAGTAATTTATTTTGATAAGACTATATGTAATCATGAAAATAGCTTTCATATAAACGCTTCATGATTGCCAATTTTTAAAAGTTGTAAAATGAATATAGTATGTTATCCTTAATAGATAGACATATGCCATCGCGGACTTTTCCGTAGACCTATATTAGATGCATAATTCCACCATACATTGTTTGATTATATCTCAAAGGCTTTAGGCAGCGTTTTCGTTAAAAGCTAACAGACAGCTCATTTTTTCCCCGACATCTTCAATAAATATCGTTAATGTACACACAAATCAATACAAAGACTTAACAAATTATATATTAAAAACGTGATATGTTTAAAGTGGAAATTAGGACTATTTCGTTAATAGCGATTTATTATTTCCTTCAATTGTAAACGACAAAACCTCTCATCATTCCATGTATTCAAGGTGCGGCTGCCGGATCCATCGTTGTAGGGAGAGGAGCTTCAACAGTGAACTGTAATTTATAACATTGAATTGTAATTTGCACAAAGAAAAAATCTTTAGCAAAACTGAACAATGATAGAAAGAATAAAGATAGCCATATATTTTAATCTTAAGAGATAAAACCCCATCACTTATTATTGGTTTTATTTATCAGTACCATAAATCATCACATCGTAATGCAGAAATAACACATCCGCCATTTTTATCAATATGCTCTGTTAAACACTAAATACAGATAGAAAAGCAATGTTTAAAATAGTCGAAACAAAAGGCGTCATCCAAGTGGCAATATTATTTATAAATTTTTGAGAATAATAAAACATAAAAACTTTTAAGCGTAACTAATATTTTCGGATTACTATGTACTCGTTTATAATTATTTTAACAACATTCTTTCGACGTTTCTGTTACTGTCAACCGTGATCA